CGGTCGTGTTGTCAAGTTTCGTGCTAAACGACCCCTTTTGGTGATTCTGTGGCGTTAACACTTCGAATTCAAGTTTCTTAAGGAACTAGTTTGCCTAGACCGAAATACGACTTCAACTCCCAAACTGGGAACCCGATTGGAGTCTCGTCTTCTCCCACAAGTCTCTTGTGCCTAGGCAGTCATGTGTGCCAAGTTTCGTGCTAAACCGACCCCTTTTGGTGATTTTGGAGCATTAATACCTCGAATCCAAGTTTCTTAAGGAACTAGTTTGCCTAAACCCAAATATGGGTCTAACTCCCAAACTGCGAACCCGATTGGAGTCCCGTCTTCTCCACAAGTCTCTCGTGCCTAGGCGGTCGTGTGTGCCAAGTTTCGTACCAATCCGACCCCGTTTGGTGATTTTGGGTGTCAACACATCGTTCAAGTTTCTTAAAGAACTAATTTGCCTAGACCGAAAACGGCTCTAACTCCCAAACCAGGAACCCGATTGGATGTTAGGGATGGGTAGATTGGGTTTAAAACCCCCAAACAAACCTTTCAACCAAAGTAAAAACGTACGCCCAGTTCAGTACCATTGGATGTTAGGGACAGGTAGATTGGGTACAGACTTAACTTTTAGCATTATTTGCACTAAGTGTCTGACCTTAACTTTGAGCCCACAACCTCAATTGTGACATGCTGAATTTTAACCCTTGATCTGAAGTAATAATCTTATATGCCTTAATTTCAATACCATATCGTTACCAACTCCATATTAAAAAATAACCTTTCTTCTTTGGGATCCAAATGAGAAAAACCTTTCTCTAGATTTGTAATATCATTTGGAAGCCACGCACAAGGAGACATATATGAGGAAACAAGTGCTATGAACAAGTTCAAGGGAATAACAAACTTTATTTCATTTGATATTTGAGAAAGTTTGAACCAGATTTCATAGAAACTAAGTAAGGTGTGTCTGCTTGTGTGTCTGCTTGTGCTGTGCACACAAGAGGTCTGCCTCTCATCTAACAGTTCCCCAGAACGGATAAAAAGTTACCAATCTAAGCTGATATTCCTTGAAACACACAGCTTATCTATGTATTCTATTACTGGGAGTGAGGCTTTGATATACCTCCTCATTTCCTTTTCAGCAAACTCATCTGTAACAAGATTGATATTATCAGTTGAAATCACAAAATTACAGTTTCAATTTTCAACAAACACATCTCATAAGTGTTTTCATCCATCTTAACTTCCTTAAGTATTTAAAAGTAATAACTATAGACCCATTAGTCAATAATTTCCACACACAGTATTCATATTATTGAACTGTTTTGAGCAGCATGTAATAAATCCCATCACAGAGACCTTTAATATAATTGAACTTTTATGAGCCATAACCAAAATGGAAAACAGGAATAAGTTTAGTACAAGTGAGAAGCCCCACTTTGCAGCAATTAGAAATCCTTGCATCAAATCAACTATTATGGTTCTTATTTCTACCGAAGCATAACTTTAAACTAACACAAGAAAAATCACACCTGCAAAAATGTTAGGTGTCTTCACATTTTTCTAGCAACAAAGACATAAATGGATGTTTACTTTTCCAACAACAGGAAACTGTGACAATATTAGTGTCATTTGTGAAGAACATTTTGGGAGAATGAAGCACTACCTTTTCATTGTAAATGCAGAGTCGTTCCTGTACTACAGCTTCAGTATCATCAGACCGAGTGATGAGCTTTGAAACACATTGTGCTACATATTCAGAAAAGTATATCTATGGACCAATACTACACAGTATCACAATGTCCCAAAAACTTCAGCAATAAAGAAACAGGGAACCAAAAAATAAGAAGTTAATGGTAGTCTCATTAGTAGCACAAGCTCCAAAAGAAAACGTCTTCAAAATCGTATTAAAAACTTTCTCAACCAATTTTCCTATATATTAAAAACACAAGTCGCACCACTTGGTAATTCTCCGTGGGTAGAAGTGTTCTCTGAGCAAACCTTGGCGATGGTCCACCTCTCAGCAGCAAGACATTAAGCACCTGCCAAAGATTTATGCTCCATCATGCACAAATATGTCATAAACGTGCTTCAAAATCAACCTAATAGGGACAATTATTCCACAAAAATCTAACAAACTGGTAAGTGGAACCCAAGAAAGAAAAGCACACATTTAGATGTTCTTCAAGATCTTTTACAAAAACAAGTTAGTTGGTTAAACAAGATGACTTCACAAGCAGACGTGCTATAGAACATGGCAAATAATCCCTATTCCAGGCATGTTGTAGATCTGTCATATAATGGCAAACAAGATGATTTCTCCAATTTCTGCTGACTACCATTTCCTGATGAGTTGGAAATTTGAACCAGTTTCTGCAAAATGAAACTGAATTACACATCAATTGAAGTCATAAATCAGAATAACACATTTAAAGAGTTCTTCGCTTTAAATTAGTGCAACTTTGCAGCTACCTTCTGATCTACTCTAATACAAGTTCATCATTCAAGAAAGGTGCATTTAATTCTTATTAAAAGTCTATGTTGCAGACGTTATAAATGCATATAAATGTCAACCGAAATTAAGTACAACGCAAACACCATTATTATTGGCTGAGAAAATTGAACGAAGCAACTATAAATGGAAAAGAGAAGTAAACCTTTTCTATGCTGCAGGCATTATAAATGCATATAAATGTCAACCAAAATTAAGTACAACACCAACACCATTATTATTGGCTGAGAAATTGAATGAATCAACTATAAATGGAAAAAGAGAAGTAAACCTTTAGTCACTGAATGTGCTTGCAGCAGTAAAACGCACAGAAATCAGGAAAAAGACTGATGCATCTACTGGAGGGACAGCATCTACTGGAGGGACAGCAAAATCCATAGATCCACTGCCAAGTGTTCCAAAATGAAGTTAGAAACCAAACAAGCACTACAAATTGTACAATGCACATAAATTTTAGTTTTTAAATAAAGAAAACATCATCATATGCTGACCTGCAGTTTGAGTTATCAATGAGAAGTATGGACCACTCTAAATGGAATTTCTGGAATCATAACTGTGAGAAAACATACAGGTATTGTAAACCCAACTCCATTGAACAAGAAAAGTGGAACAAAAACCCATTTATTGATGAGCAAATCATTAAACTGTGTACCTTCTAAAAAGTCTGTTGAAAGCGAAATCAAAAAGGGAGTAATCAAAGCAGCTATATGAGTTTTTTGCAGTAATTATTGTGGGAATATCAAGCTATAATTTTAAGAAGTTACATAACAAGATCTTGATAAGCTGGTACATCTATTCCATTTCCTGAAAGGTCATTTTAAAACCATTTGAAGTGGTGTAGATGAAACATCAAAATGTATAATACATTTTTCAAATTTTTGCGGGAAAAAGAAAAACAGCAAGTGGTCCCAAATATTTTTCACATTTTGCCTTCTCTCATACTGTTAAACAGAGACACATGGTGTGAAAAGCATATCAATGCAAAAGAAATAAAGTTTGAAAACAAATCATTTCTAACAAAAAATGTGCTCAGCGCTTGTCTTATTGTTCGAGAAAAACCATCCAGAATGAATCCTGATTCACCTTTAGCTTCTCTCCATCCTCGTTTTCCTAGAGTGAAATCCGGCTCTGACTCCCAAACCGGCCTAGGCACGAGAGACTTGTGGGAGAAGACGGGACTCCAATGGGGTTCCCGGTTTGGGAGTTAGAGCCGTATTTTGGTCTAGGCAAACTAATTCCTTAAGAAACTTGAATTCGAGGTGTTGACGCCCCAAAATCACGAAACGGGGTCGGATTGGCACAAAACTTGGCACACAAGACCGCCTAGACACGACAGACTTGTGGGAGAAGACGGGACTCCAATCGGGTTCCCGGTTTGGGAGTTAGAGCCGTATTTCGGTCTAGGCAAACTAGTTCCTTAAGAAACTTGAATTCGAGGTATTGACGCCCCAAAATCACCAAACGAGGTCGGATTGGCACGAAACTTGATACACATGACCACCTAGGCACGAGTGACTTGTGGGAGTAGACAGAACTCCAATCGGGTTCCTGGTTTGGGAATTAGAGCCGTATTTCGGTCTTGGCAAACTAGTTCCTTGAGAAACTTGAATTCGAGGTGTTGACGCCCCAAAATCATGAAACGGGGTTGGATTGGCACGAAACTTGGCACATACGTCTGCCTAGGCACGAGAGACTTGTGGGAAAAGACGAGACTCCAATCGGGATCCCAGTTTGGGAGTTAGACCCGTGTTTCAGTCTTGGTAAACTAGTTCCTTAAGAAACTTGAATTCGAGGTGTTAAGGCCCCAAAATAAGCAAAATGGGTCGGTTTAGCACGAAACTTGGCACACACGACCAGCTAGGCACGAGAGACTTGTGGGAGAAGACGGGACTCCAATCGGGTTCTCTGTTTGGGAGTTAGACCCGTATTTCGGTCTAGGCAAACTAGTTCCTTAAGAAACTTGAATTCGAGGTGTTAACGCCCCAAAATCACCTAAAGGGGTCGGTTTAGCATGAAACTTGGCACACACGACCGCCTGGGCACGAGAGACTTGTGGGAGAAATCGGGTTTCCGGTTTTGGAGTTAGAGCCGTATTTCGGTCTAGGCAAACTAGTTCCTTCAGAAACTTGAATTCGAGGTGTTGACGCTCCAAAATCACCAAACGGGGTCGAATTGGCACGAAACTTGGTACACACGACCGCCTAAGCACGAGAGACTTGTGGGAGAAGACGGGACTCCAATCAGGTTCCCGGTTTGGGAGTTAGGGTCGGATTTCTGTCTAGCCAAAATTATTTACTTAACTATGTTTGTAATTATATAGTAGTTAATTTTTTATATTTTTTTGTAATTAAAATATAAACACATAATTATATTGTCATTAATTATTTTTATTTTTTATTTTCAGATATATTTCCTGAGTAGCAGTTTGCTTCTTGTGGAATGCAGGCGTGTGAAGATTGCGACAAACTTTTGCTTTTGTAACCCACGAAAGAATCATGACGAAAACTTTTATTTTTGATTTACGTTATTTAGATTTGTGAACAACATTATGTATGTATTATGCAACATTATGTGGTGGGATAATTTTGATGATGTGTTGTTATAAATGGAAGAATACTTTAATTATGGATGAATTTTTATTTATATACAAGAATTTTTATATTATTATATAATTATCGGTGTTTTTTTTTAGTTATTTTCATTTAATACAGGTAATTTTCATATTTTTAATAATTTTATTACAGTTTTTTTTTTTTTTTTGAGACAGCACCATACTGTCTCAAAAAAATTTAGAACCAGGTTTTTTGCGACGGTAGTATAGCTGTCGCCAAAGATATTGGCATTATTAATTAGTTGAAACAAAAGGGATTTAGCGACGGTATTCTTCACCGTCGCAAATACTGTTTTTAGAGACGGTATATTTACCGTCGCAAAAAACCATTTTAGCGACGGTATATTTGCTGTCTCAAATAAATATTTTTTGCGACGGTATAAACCCCATCGCAAATAGCCATTTTAGCCACGACACCACAGTGCTGTCTCAAAAACTTGAAATTTCTACACATTAATGGCGACAGTATTTTGCCATTGCTAAAAGGCATTTTTGCCGTCGCCTATATTTTGCAACGGCGTCACACCGTCGCTAAAGGCCTTTAGCAACCCCCTTTGTTGCGACCCCCCTCTTACCGTCGCTAAAAGCCATATGCCGTCGCAAAAAAGCTTTTGCGACGGGGTTTTGGGTATTTGCGACGGTATATTACCGTCGCAAAAAAGTAAATTTTTTGTAGTGCACCTATGGAAAAGTTGATAATTTATTTGGTAAATTTATTATCTGTTTAGAAATAACTGTTTTGGGCTATCAGTGGCGGACAGTCTTGATTGTTGTAGACACTGCATGATGATTAGGTAAATTGAAACTAATCAATTGGTTTATGTCATTGAATATGACGATTGGATTAAAATGTTGATTATGTGAATTGTTGGGTCATTGTATATGCTAACATGTTTAATACATTGCCAATGTATCTTATGTGGGAGGAGATAGAGGATGTCCTCCATTGTTTGGGAGGAGATAGGGGATGTACTCCAATGATAATTAAGTTAGCCGGAGTGTCCAGGGTGAAAGTCCCGAAATCATTTATATGTTTGGGTGCTGGTTCCCTTGGACGTAGTTCCGTAAAATGGCAAGATATGAAGTGTTGAGTGATGTTTATGATTGAAGTGTTGATGAATGAGTTGTAGTCTCATGTTAACTTGTTTATATGGAAATGAATTATGTCAACGAATTGACTTGGATAATAACTGAATGTGAATTGAAATATGGGTACCAATGTTGGTTGGTTAGGGAAAAAGGTTTAAGATGGATTATAAGTATTAGACATTTATCCAATGCTAGTGTTTTAGTTAATTCTCATGTACTGTCTAGCATATCTCTATTGAGTTTTGGCTCACCCTACTTGGGACACCATTTTCAGGTACAGGTGACATGCCACCTCCAAGGACATAGCTTGGGAGGTTTTGGGGCTGAGGTCTCTGTTTTGTTATTTCACGTTATGTTTATATGTTTTTTTTTCCAAGCCGAGGGCTTTAATTGTAAAGGGCTTTTGACCATCTTTTGTTGTAACCAAGTGTTGGCTTGGAAAGTTGTAAGCCTGTAGGGCATCTATTTTGTTGTTATTATTTAACATCTTTTGTAAAGAACACTCTGATGAATGGAATATAATACTTTTCCTATGTTTTATGGATCTTATGAATGATTGGTCTATGTCTACTTTTGAGGGTGTTACAACTTGGTATCAGAGCGTACCGGGTTTGATTGCTTTGGGTACGTGGGAGGTGGTTAGTACCAGAATGGATTTGTCTCGCTTGTTAGAGACGTATGTATGATGTTATGTACTTATGTGATAACATGTTTATATGACTATATGGGTATGAAATTTAGTTTCTAGGATGTTGATCGAGTCTATGGGTTTCTAGGAGTCCTATTGGAAAGGCACTTGATCACTGTTGTTTCTAACTGGAACTCTAACAACGCCACGGGATGGTCATTATCCGGAAATGAAATTCGTATATGTTTATGTGATTATGTGCAGTGACTTACAATTATCCATTATATTAGGACGCAAGTGAATTAGTTTCGGCACATTTGTAAATGTGCTAATTTCTTCTGTCACCTTTTTTAGGATGTCAGGACGAGGTCGTGGTGGTAGGCGTGGTAGGCCTAGGAAGCAAGAGGTGCCTATTCCGGATGAGATTCCTGCACAGGAGGAGGGAGTTGATCAGGCCAATGTGGTCGAGCTGGTTAGACAGTAGGCCATCAGTGCCTTAGCCTGCGAGATGGCAGGAGCATTGAGGGAATCTATGGACATTCTCAGGGCTAAGAATCAAGTCCAGGCCCATGTAGCTGAAGTAGGGCCTTCTTTTTTGAAGAGGGAGTTCTTCCGGTTAAATCCGGACGAGTTTTTGGGTGACCCTAAGGAGCCACTGAAGGCTTACGAGTGGTTAGAGTAGATGACAAAGACGTTTGAGATGCTTGGCATCGAAGACGAAGGTTTGTCAGTGACTTTGGCGTCCTTCCAGTTGAAGGGAGATGCGGGTCAGTGGTAGAAGTTTGTTCGAGGGCGAATTGGAGGGACTTCGAAGGCTTTTGTTGACGCCTTCCAGGAGAAGTTCTTGCCTTCCACTGTTAGAAAGAAGTTGAGAGATCAGTTTTGTCAGCTCAAGCAGCTAAACACACCTGTGTCAGAGTTTGAAGCCACTTTTACCATCTTATCGAGGTTTGCACTAGAGTTGGTGGAGATCGAAGAGCGTAGGTGCTTGGAGTTCAAGAAGAAATTGGGGATCGAACTCATGTTTCAAGTGGCCGGGTCCATGACTAGGGAGTATGGGCGCCTGGTGCAGGCTGCAGCCCACCTTGAGACCATAATGCATGCAGAGGAGGAGAGGATAAGGGGCTCCAGGAGGAGTCAGGAAGGCCAGGGGAAAGGCAAGAGGTAGAGGGGTTCTAACCCTCAGCAGTCCCAGGGAGCACATTCTAGATCGACCTTTCCAGTACCGAGTTCGGGTTCTGGGAGAGGTGGTCAGGGAGACATCACCTGTTTCAAATGTGGTCAGTTGGGCCACAAGTCTTCATCTTACCCGCACAGGGGAGGAGGGGAGGAGGGGAGGAGGGCAGCGTACAACATCATCTTCGGCTCGTTCTCAGGGCCAGAGTTAGGGCATCGGCCAGTCGCTCACTTGTTATCAGTGTGGGCAGGCAGGGCACTTGAAGAGGTTTTGCCCACAGTTAGGTGGCACACCTGGTGCGTCTGGTTCAAGGCAGACACAGAGTCACCAGCCAGCGTAGTCAGTTCAGGCCTTGAGGGCCACTCAGGGAGCCTCTTCGACTCAGTCTATGCTGCAGTCTTATGCTCTGAGAAGTGAGCAGGTAGATAAGAGACCTACAGGGCGCGTGTATGCCGTTACAGCGCAGAACTTTGTACCGGCTCCATCTGTTGTGAGAGGTACCTTCTTGTTTTGCAACTCGGCTGCCAATGTGTTCATCCCATTCTTTTATATCTTCTGCTTTTGCTTCTATTTTGGGATTGGAGTTGGTGTCGTTAGCTTCTCCTATTTGTGTAATATCACCTGTTGGGGGTGAGATGGTTTTGAAACAGGGGTGCCGAGGCTGTGATATAGAGGTCGCCGATCGCCGGTTTCCATTTTTTTTGTAGTAATGGATATGTCTGGGTTTTATGTGATTTTGGGTATGGACTGGTTATTGTCATACCGGGCTATTATAGATTGTTATCGCTAGAGGGTTACTGTATGTACCTTGAGCGGCGAGTGTTTCCATTTCTTGGGGGATCGGATTGGTAGAGTCTTACCACCAGTGTATGATCCGCGAGGGCGTAGTGAGCATAATTGCCTTCTCGCTAGCTTTATGAGTAGTGAGTGTGATGAGACCCGGACTGAGTTGCCAAGAGTGGTCTGTGAGTACTCGAACATCTTTCTCGAGGATCTTATTAGTTTACCACCCCATCGAGAGATCGAGTTCTCTATTGACTTAGTGCCTGGCACGGTATCGTTTCATCCCAGCTGAGTTGAGTGAGTTGAAGATTGAACTCTAGGAGTTACTAGATAAGGGTTTTATTTGCCCTAGCACTTCGCCTTGGGGAGCACCAGCCCTCTTTGCTAAGAAGAAAGATGGGGTTTTGAGACTTTGTATTGACTACTGAAAGTTGAATCGGGCTACGGTTAAGAACAAGTACCCCATGCCTCATATAGATGATCTGTTTGACCAGTTGAAAAGATCCCGTTGTTTCTCTAAGATAGACTTGAGATCGGGTTATCATCAGTTGAGGGTCAGGAAGAAAGATATCCTGAAGACAGCATTCCGTATGCGGTATGGCCACTATGAGTTTATGGTGATGCCTTTTGGGCTCACCAATGCACCGGCTGTGTGTATGGACTTGATGAATCGGATCTTCTGGGAGTTCTTAGATCGCTTTGTGGTCGTTTTCGTAGACGACATTCTGATTTATTTACCTTCTGAGGAGGAGCATAAGGAACACTTGCAAGTGGTGCTTGAGTTGCTTAGAGCCCATAAGTTGTATGCGAAGTTTGGGAAGTGTGAGTTCTGGCTGAAAGAGGTTAAGTTCTTAGGCCATGTGGTATCCGAGGAAATGGTGACTGTAGATTCATCCAAGATAGAGGCAGTGCAAGATTGGACACAGCCTAAGAATGCCTTTGAGATCCGTGGTTTCTTGGGGTTAGCTGGGTATTACCGTCGGTTTGTGAAGGATTTCTCCATGCTAGCTTCGCCTTTGACTAGATTGACGTGGAAAGGAGTCAAATTTGTTTGGAGTGAAACTTGCAAAAAGTCGTTCCAGGAGCCAATGATTAGACTTACCACCGCTCCAGTCTTGATTATTCCGGAGAGGGGTTTGGGTTATTCAGTATATTGTGATGCCTCACGAGAGGGTTTGGGTTGTGTGTTGATGCAAGAGGGAAAAGTAGTAGGCTATGGTTCACATCAGTTGAAAACACATGAGAGGAACTACCCTACACATGACCTAGAGTTGGCGGCTGTAATATTTGCCTTGAAGATTTGGAGGCACTATCTTTACGGTGAGAGATTCGAGGTG